AAGGTAATAATCACCTGAATCAGCTGTGACCTTTGTGTCAATAACACGCTCAAAGGTCCATCTGGACGGTCTTTCGAGATGGTTGTGGTTGTGATATGTAAATAGATAGATGAGGGCTGCTGGAGTTCTAACAATATCACTATAGATATATATACATAGGGTCTGATGTATTCTACTCCTAAAAAAATCAAAAGGGATACTATAAAAGAAATCCATCTCTGACATAATAAAGGTCCTAGGTATATCTTCAACGAGAACAACAAACTTAAAATAATATAATCTTTGATATTCATTAAATATATAATTAAGCCTATTATGTACTGAGCTATCTAATAATTTAACTCTTTTTTGAGACTTTGTCATCCTGTTTTCCTGAAATATTAGTAAGGATGAACATCCATTCTATCATTTACACATTATTACATTACAAAATCATAACTTTTAATATAAAGAAAATATATTCACTTTTCACACTTATTCATATTGCAAACACATTCACATATGCACAACATAATAATTTATTATACATTATCCATTATCTCATTTTAATACGCACTCTCAGTGCACTGTGATTACAAATATCGATACCTCCAGCATTTTTTTAGGTATTACTCAACTAGGTAAATAGTCGCCGATTAGCCCATGCACACGGATATAACGTATAAAATAGTCAGGCCCCTTAGCAAAGGCATAATCAAGAGTCTAGTCAGGAAATGAGTGTGGGGCCATGTGACACATTCACTCTCAGAAAGAGTGTGTACACATACACGAATGTCACTCACCACCCTACGTTTCCCCAAGATTTCTCATCGTCTCTGGACTTTATACCTCCAGTATATCTCTGACACTTATGGCCAATCAGAAATCATTTTCTTCTTCACTCACAAGATCGTGCTTAGTAAAGCACTTCTAGACTAAGTTCATTTCACCCATACTCTTTTAATATAGTTTCAATTACTAAGTCCTTCAGATCAGTATCTCACTTTATCATATTATTTCATCCAGACATATTCCATATAATCACATCATGATCACTCAGCATGTTTGATAATATTTCATTTTGGGTACTCATCATATAATGCATGTGAACATATAACAACCAATCAGTTCACACAACCAAACAAGCATATTTTCAGCCATCATTCATACACAATATATTTCAATCATATATTTTCATAAAATTTCTATATAGTAGTGCTCTAATGAACAAAAAATAAATACTGTAATAAAACGACAAAATAGAGCCCCCTTACCGTAAAGACGAGTTTAATGAAAGAAAGGGTAAAAAGAATGGTTCACACACCAAGGTTGTTCTATACCTTACAGAAAAGAGTATTCTTTGAGAAAAGGGGAAACACAAAAGATAGAAGTGAAAACGAGGAGTTCAAGCTTTGAAATACTTGCCAATAATTTCGTGGAGTCAAAGTTTAAGCTCTGATTCGGAGTAGTTTCAAAGTATTTGAGGCTTTTCTCTGAAGAAAGAAGAGAGAGTTTAGAGAAAATAAGGGAGGAACGTGGGTTTTGGAATGAAATGAAATTTTCATGCTAAAAATCTCTTAAATACCCCTCAGCCCTGCACACTTTTGTTTGAGCGAGAAATATTTCGCTTGATGCAGATAGTAGTCTCTCCCAGCATTTTTTTATATGCTCGCTTGCGCGAGCTCCATCTAGCTTGAGAGAGATGGCGTCCAGAGAGCAAGATGTTTTTCCTGTGAGTCCTCGCCTGAGCGAACTCAACTCGCTTGGACGAGATCACTCTTGCTTGAGCAAGGTGACAGTTGAGCTAAATTTATCCTATCTCGGCTTAGGCGAGAATCAGAGATTACCCTAAAACCTTATATTTTTGGGCTCTCAGTCTCGCTTAAGCAAGATTTACCTCGCCTGAGCGAGACCTCTTGCACCATAATCCTTCTAATAATCCTTCATACTCACTTTTAAATGTATTCTAATACTGCTTAATATCAAACAAAACATAATTTACTTAATAATGAAAAAGATGGTGTTACAGCAAATATCCAAGTAGCCATGATGAATGGAGTTACTTGGCTAGTTTTGATTGGTTCATAAATCTTGTGGTTTCAAATGAGCCACAAAATTAATTATGAACCATTGGATCAAGGTGTGGTAGATGGTTTTCCCATCCTTGAATCTAGGCAAATAATATTATTTTATTCTAATAATTTAAATTACTGAAACTATACTGGTTTCTCTCTTAACCAGAGATCTTTTATTCATCCAATTTCTCATTAGTATTTACTTAAGTTCTACTTTAAATTTTTAATTCTAGTCTACCTAATCAACATAGATTTGAATTCTAATAAATATTTAATTAGTCCCTTATTAACCTTATTCATATACATTAATCAAGAAAATTAATTAATAGCATAAAACAGATAGTTAAAATTTTAGACGTCACACCTCTCATCATGAGCCGATAAGCTCATACTATATTTCACATAGATTAGTATTAAGTGCCCAAAATTCATAAATAATTAATTATATTATTAATAGGTTTAAGTATCTTTAAATGGATCATAATATTAGTTTATTTCTAAAAAAAACAAAACTACAATTGAGCATAACCCATAATAATTTTTATAGAAAAATTTTAATATACAGATCTAAAATATTTATGCCTGAAACCTTCATAGTTGTAGCACAAAAAGCACAAGAACTTTGAGAATCCAACAAACCATAATGTTTATGATATTTTTCAGAAAGTTTCAATATTAAAATATAGAAAAAAAACACTTAATGTTCATTCAAAACTAGAAATATAGACAAATAAAATCTCCTTTCATAATAATATATTAAATTATAAATTTAATCTCAATAATTAACGTGTTTTTTTAATTTAATTTTTACATAAAAAAGTTATAATTTAATTTTTACATAAAAAAGTTATAATTTAATTTTTACATGATTAGATAATTTTGGACTAATCCTTACTTTTAAAAATATGTTAACGACATTAAATGAGAATGACCAAAACGTAAAAAAAAAAAAAAAAAACATATAAAATTTAAAATGTAAATGTCAATTACAAAAACTAATTTATAAATAAATATCATATATTCAAAATTTTAAAAAACTAAAAGATATATAAGTTATATTTGTAAGTAAACTTATATCTAGTATAGTTTGACATTCTAAAAATAAAAAAATTTAAAATATTTCATTAAAATTAATTTACAATAAAAATTATAACAAAAATATTAATACTAATACTTCATTTATTTATTTGAATGTACGATAAAAGATAAATTTATAAAATAAAAAATATTAACTTAAGTTCTTGCATCTGAATTTGTTAATTTTATATTCAAAACAAGCTTGATTATTGATTAATAAAAAAATTTATTTTATTTTATAAAATTATGTTAAATTTAGTCTTTTAGGTTAAATTTAAATATTTAAAAATAAAAAATTTGAAAAATAATTCATGCTATTAAAGTTATAAAAATATCAATAAATATTTTTTATTTTCATAAAATTTTATTATAATTAATTGCTTAAACTTGTTCTTAAGAGTTAAAATAACATTTTCTATTTTCTATTTTTATCTTTTATCTTACCTTCAATTGAATAAATAAAATATTAGTATTAAAATTTTTTATAATTGATATTTTTATAAAATATTTAAAAAAAATTCCTATAAAAAAGTATTTTCTATTTTTAAAATATAAAAATTATGTTAAATATAAATTTACTTAAAAATATAAAATTTTAGTCTTTTAAAGTTTTGTAAATCTTTTATGTACTATCTCGTTTATTTTTTAAATAAGTCTATATCTTTTTTAAATTATTTATTATAATATATATTTTTTGAAATTTATTTATAAATTAATTTTTATAGTTGATATTTATGTTTTAGTTTTTATATAATTTTTTTATATTTTTAATTCTTTTTACATACGTTGTAAACATGTTTTTAATAGAAATGATTAATATAAAATATTTGTTAATGTAAAGAATAAATTGTGAATTTATTTATTTTACGTAGGGATGAAATAAAAAACAAAAAAAACAAAGAAACAAGTGGGTAATTGTTAGATTTTGCATCCACGGTTGCTAGATTTGGCGTGAAGCCAAAAGATTCTTGGCAACTTGTTTAAGGAGGGTGTGGGAATGAGGAAAAGTTTTCTATAACATCCAATATTAGAAACTTAGATTTGAGTGTCCATTTTATAATTCCAAAGCAAAATCATGCTTTCAGTGAAATTCATTTTTCAAGCACAGCAGCCGCAATTATGGCCCCGAAAATATCATGAACAGAGGGAGGATCTCCGAGGTTGAAGAAGTCTAGAAACATTTTTTATTAATTATTAAATTTTTAAAATAATTAAATCAGTTAAAACATTTAACCTCCCTTCAAATTTTGCCAAATCTTTTTCTTAGAGAGAACCAGCACAGAGGGAAGGAAACAGTAGCTTAAAAATTTCATATTTCTTGTAATGTAGATTTTGAATTTTAGGAAGAGGAGAACACTTAGCAAAAATCTTACCTTTCTTGTTCAACATTGGAAATTTTATTTTAGATATACAGGACCAGGAGGTATGGATGCTTAATTATGCAATGATTTAACAGAAGACATTACGAAGTTAGGAAACAAAGTGACTATTTACTCACTGCGATGACTAGAGTAAGATTCTTAAATATGTACTGCTATCACAGTCTATGCAAAGCAAATGCTTGACCTGAAAAAAAATGATGGTATGGTTTTAATTAGTATCTTCTAACCATATGTCAAACGTACAACTGGCAATTTGCCAAATTAGATAGCTGGGTTATAATTGATATTGTCTAGACTAGACCAGTTTACAGAACTGGCAAACTGTGAATCTAGTGATGCACAATCTTAATCTGGGGTCTACATTTATGTCAAGTAACATTGTGAGAACATTGATATTGAAAAGCAGAAATGTCATCTGAAGTTAAAAAGAAAAAACACTACAAGAAATTAATTAAATCCATACATGAAGTCAGAAGAAACTATGTAATCACAACATGCTATCTGTCCTAGCTGGTAGCCTTTTGAAGAAGTTGCTTGGTACAGAAGGCATCTTGCTACGAAATTTTGGATGCCTTAGATAATACAAACCCATTACAAGTGCCACAACTCTTGGTGGTGTTGCATAGAGAACCACCGCAGAACAAAAGCTGAACACTACAAAGAGGCTTGTTGCTCTTGTGTCTCTCCAACTCAATAGAGACTCAAGTCTCTCTCCTTGTGTAGCAATGTCCCCAACAACTGTTTGAATCCTACCTGCAACACTCCTAAGCCTGTCATACCTCATTCTCACCACATCATGTGGTCTTGAAGTTGGGAATGTGTCAAACTCTTCATCAAGTTCATCAGGGTGAACTGCTTCTGCCCATGAGAGTTTTGTGTCCATGTGAGCCGGGTTTCGCTGCCGGAACCTGTAGTTCCACAGGCCAATCAAGAACATGTAGAGAAACAAAGTTGGAAGTATCAATTCTGGGTACCAAATCAGTATCAGGAACAGAATGTGAACTAGGACTGATGTGATTGGGTTCTTCCAGTGGCAAACTAGGCCAAACCATTGCCACATTGTGATGATGCCTGAGAAAAGAGACATGATGCGAAAAAAGTTGGCTTTGCTTCTTCTCATGCTCCACATATGGGAATCAACATCCAACATGTACTCCACTACTTCCTTCCTGAGGGGAGGTTCAGCCCTGCCAAGCCTCATAGCTACAATGTTCATGGCTTGGTACCTCAAGTTTTCTACGTGGTTAACAATGAAAGGACGTATGTAATGCATCTTGGGTAGCAAGGGCTGGCTATAAATGTAAATTATATTGGCCAATGAGAGGGTTGTGAACCTCACTGCTAGCTGAAGCTCACCCATTTTCTTAACACCATGTGGGTGCAAAACAAGAAGAGGGTAGGAATGAGTGTAAATCCTATGTGCTTCAAGTGTAGAGAGCCTAATCCTTACCTTTCCAATTCTTGAATCCCTGGTTGCAGGGTCACCATTTGCTTTTTCCCCTCCACCTAAATGGCAGTTGTCAAAAACTCCAAGTGTTATTACAGTGCAAGGATCGTAAACCTCCCATGTATATTGCTCATTCCATTTGGGACTAAAAGTGTCAAGAATTGTTCTGGTTCTGACCCATTTTTGGCCATACTTGGCAACACAATATGCATCTGTGCTGCCACGGCCATCCTTCATCTTCATTGGGAGAAGTCCATGTGCTCCTAAGATGCCTACTTCAAGTACCCCAATAGGCTGCTTCCAAAGTTGTCTAGTTGTTGGTCTTTGGTCACTTGTGTACAAAGTGGACTCATCTAGGACATGGTATCCACCCTCAAGGCAAATCCTCAGGTGAATCCTGCTTGAAAATTTATGCTCATTCCTCCTATCAGCTTCTAGCATTCCAAAGCCAAATTTCTCAAGATTATACCAGCGAGAATGAACTGGCCTGTGGTCTAGCCTCTTCTCAAAGAGGCTTAATGGTAAGATTGTCTTCCCAAGCACCTCATCTTTAGAAGGGTGCACGCGATCCTCAACGGTGATTATCAATTGCTCCTCAAATGGTTCAGCTGCCACAAAGACTAAATCTTCATTCCAAAGTGGTGTAGTTGTTCCACTTGGACATATCTTAGTCCTCAACACTTGGCTCCCCATTTGAGCTTTGACAAAAACCGCTGGCAAGCGATTTCTATCTCTTGGTATCACATCTTGTGCTTCAATGACGCTTACCCTGAGATACCACAGTTTTGGTGACACATAAACCTTTGATCTCACATTGAAAACACCCTCTCCATACGCAGTGGCAGCATCAGAATGCCAAGCCTCTGAGAAAGCTTCATCAGCTTGAGTTCCCATCCACACTGCAAGCATGATATCACCCCTTACCCTCCCTTGGCCTCGCCGGTCCTCGAGCCTATACCATTGAGGAGCCAGTGGACTGTCTGGTGGAACTCTTGTTGGAACCTCATTGAGGTCAAAAATCACTCTTCCAATATAATCATCTCTTCCCATCATTTCTTTGTCTTTTACAATAACTTCCAAAACAGAAGATTGAATTCTGTCTTTGGAGAAAGCATAGACTTGGTTCCACTCTGGGTTGGTTTTCTTCTCTATGTGCTTTGTTCTTCCTTTGTAGTTCCCTAGCTTCACTTCCACATAAGGATCACAGCTTGAGGTAAGAGTGCTGGAGGGAAGATCTTTGGCCTTCACTACACGAACATACAAATAGAACATCTGCTCAACAAGGTCATATGTGCTTGTGAATCTTTCACTACCACTGATCCACCCTCTTCCACCATTAGGCCATCGCCCCCCGAGCTGCGGATCGGTCTCTCTCACATCGTAGTCTTCATCATTACTGCTAGGATGGACTTGAGGGCTAACTCTCTGCATTGTGACTGGATTACCTCTTTCTCTTCTCTTTATTGAAATCATTCGCTGCTGGTGAACTTGGTGTTTGTGGAGTTGTGTTATCTCTAGCACAGGCTCAATGCTTTCTTGTTTTGGATCTTATGTGAAACAGTATCAATGCCACAAGAGTGAGCTTCTGCAGGGTGGAAAATTGTCACTGCAGCTGAGTTTATATTCTCAGCCTCTTGTGTGATTGCTTTTGAGGTGCCAAAAGCAGGACGCCTTCAACAATGAGGAAGATTAGAAGTGGTGGATTCTAGTACTTTTGGTGAAGTTGAAGGTGGGAGTTTTTCTGATTCTGAGATAGGGAAGGAAGAGAGAGTTTTTGTAGGGTATAGGGCTCCTCTTGTTGTAGACTGAGACTTTAACAGTTTAGTGATGGTAAGGTTTGGTTGCATCTAAATGGAATAACAGTTTGTGATTCCAAGTGGGGTTGAGGTTCTTTGGGACAGTTTTGTTCTGTTTAGTTGATTTTCAAAGTCTACTTCTATAAATGCACTTGCTGATCCCTTACCGTTTTTGCGCATGAGATCATGAGAATTAATGAAACTCCACTACCACCTTCAATCCTCTACAGGAAGCTAAATCTTAAGTGGCTATCCACAAGTAACCCAATATTCGATTCTGAAGTAACCAAATTCTACTTAGGAAGGCAAAAGATAGAAGAAAACACAGTGACATTTGTCTCACTTTCCTACACACTAGAAGTCCTCATTGCTTCTTTGGTTTAAGAAAGGAATAATTTGATGAAGAAGTTGCATGAGCTTTTGTAATCTTAATATGGGAAAGCAGAAAAGGATGGACGAAAAACTCCAGATTGATAAAGCTGGGCCATTCTTTTTGTATGAAGGTTGTTGTAATTAGTTTTATCTTCAAAGTTTTGTATGTACTTACTTGGTATGAAACATGGAATGCTAAATGTTAAATAATTTATAGCCAATACTAAAAAGCGTCTTGAGAGTACTAATTAAGGAATTAAGAATGAAAAGTTTTTATTGAAAAAATATTATTTATGTACTCTTACTAGGATTTTCAATGTATCCTAAATGTAATTTTTAATTGAAAAATTATTATTGTTTTCTTAACTAGTGTTCTTAAACTTTGAAGTACTGATTAGCAAAACTCATAATTTAATAATGCAGAACTTTAATGGCTTTTTCTCAGGTTTGTGTCAATGTGATATAGTTACTTAATGAATGGGTTATTTGCCTAAAGGGACTAGTTGAAAGGATCAATTCTTTCTTCTCTGTGCAGCAATGCCAAAGTGGAGAAAAGGTGAGTAAATAAGGCGTGAAAGGCAGGTCTGAAGCTGCAACAAAGCAAAGGTGGCTTAGCTCAAGAACTTGTGTTGTGACCTTTGCCCAAAGATGCTTTCCTTGTGCTTTATTTTCCTTCTCCTTTTAAGAGTGTATTTTATATTAGTCACATGTATCTTTAGATTGCTAAGGTTTTATTTTATTTTTTTATGTTTTACCTTGCCAACTCAAGTGCTGCCAAAAGTTGTTCATAGGTAGGTACTTTGGTGTCAATTTTTTAACTGGGTCAAGTCATTTTGATGCAACCCACAAAATAGGGCAATATGTTGGATAAGCAAAGACCAAAGGATAATGCAGTAAAATTTATTTTAAACTAAACTTGGCTATGGCTAAGATACATAGTGGATCCTTTTTGAAGTTGTTCACTACTTCCTGTGGATGATATTTGCCACAAGATTAGAAAGTTTTTCTAGATCTGGAATTTATCACGTAAACAAATGTAACTAACAAGTTTTCTATACATTGAGTAGTAAATGTTTCATTATTAATAACGAATATTTTATTATGTTAAAAATCAAATTCAAATTAGAATTGAATTTATTATTGACTGAAAAAATTAAAATAGTTCTTAGAGAATAGAATAGGCTCATGTAGATTCTAAGAGTGGAGAATTTTCTTTGTTAGGCTCGCTGACTGTAGATTCGTCCGTGGAAACAAAAGGTGAATGATTTTTAAAAATTGAAACTATGTAGTAGTTTTGGAAACAAAAATTATCAACATATTGCCTAGAAGAGCTGAGTATGTATTCATTAATTTCAACTTTTATATATAAATTATGATTATTATTTTTTGAATAACAGTATTTATAAAATATTCTTAAATATGAGTATTGTTAAGAGTTTTTTTAAACCAGAGTGTTTTTATATTAGTTTTTTTTAATCATGTCAAGTAATTTTATTTACATTATGCATTTATTTTTTAAATGATTTTTTTATAATTTATTTTCATGTTACTTAATATAATATATATTATTTCTAATTTATTAAATTTAAAAATATTTATATAATATATTTTAATTATTTATTATACATATTTAATATAATATTTATTATTATTATTATTATGATTATTCTCGTGTGAAAAAGGACATGCAATATAAAAATCACCTATTTCTAAATAGGTTGCTGTAAACACTATGCAAATATGCCTTCATCCCTTGATAGAACAACTATAATGGTGTTTCCACCTAGAGGAATGATATTGTGATCAATGAGAAAATTCCAGCGCAATTTAGCAGGCTTGCGATTTTCTCAGTGCAATTAAAAAGAAATCCGTCTTATAATATTCACGCTTTAGATATTCAATCTTAAACATGAGAGGGTATGTTGAAATCCATGTTGAATATAAATATAACTTAGAAGAAATTATAAAAGATAAAGTGATACTCAACTTATGAGTAAACTTTTAGGGTTGAGTTAAGTTCATTCTCAAACTTAAGACTATTTTTCCCTTTTGTATTTTTTCTCCAGAAATTAGAATGTAGCATTCATACAATGTGTAAGTTGTTGATATCATTTTGCTTCTTCATAGTAGTTCTCTGGTGTATGAACATTGCTAATATTTTCACATACTTAATTGCAGGTGTTTAGCTCAATGTTTGAAAAGGCTTTCTCCAATTACCCAATTTCGGAAGACCCTACTGGAGATCTCAGCTTGAACAACATCTTGGAAGGGAAAACTAGAAAGGTCTTTGCTCGTTGTTCTTTCAAATATTGGTCGATTCTGACTTCTGAAACATTTCCATCCAAGATTTAGTGTTTGTGGATGCATGGTTTGGAGGTAAGTATTTAATTATTAAAGACGTCAAGAAAATTTTTGTTAATAGTAGAAAATAAATTATGTTTTAGTCCTTTTTATAATGTGTTCTGTTAGAAGTTTTTACTTGTTTTTTACAAGATACTTTATAATTTTCATGAAATATTTATGTTTTTAGTTTCTTTTGTCCTTGATAAATAGAGTTGATAGAAACGTAAATGAAAACTAAAAAAAGGTAAATATTGATAATGGAGTTAGATTTAATGATATTAAATTAGGATAAAATTATCATGTTATAATATATTTTTAAATTAAAAAACTTAAACTACTTTTATCTATAGCTATACGATTACTATTTGAAGTGTGGATATTTCCTTGTGAGTTGTACCCCACACGGCACAGGTGCAAATTAGATTAGTCTGTCTACTTACCAAAATTATTTGAATGAAAAAGGGTATGCTTGGATATGACTATATTGAGACTAAGTGTCGTTTGAGTAGGTATTTTTTTTAGGTTATCAGTTTTTCTTTTTCTTTTTTTAAATGACAGCCTTTTAGTTAAATTTTTCCTCCTGTTTTTTAATTCTTTCACTTTTGTTTCCTATTACTCGATCAAACCCTTTCATGTACGCATATTTTCAAATATAAGTCAATTTGTTCAATATTCAGATATTTTTCTACCATACATGCTGATGACTTTGCTTTTCAATTTTGATACTTCATTATTACATGGTTTAATTAAGTATTTAATTCTACACAAGTTTCATAATTTAGACTTAATTCCTATAAAATATTTTGTTATAATATAGTATTTACATTTTCACAAACTATTATTTTTAGTCCTTTATCTGATGTAATCCAATAAAAAATTAACACTTAATAACATCTCAATAGACTTTGTAAATTAAAGAATAAAAACAATAACTTGTAAAAAAGTAAGAGATATATCGAACAAAAAAAATTTAAAGAGACTAACTTCAAATTGTACAACTTTTGTAAAAAACAAATACTTAATTAAGTCTTATCATATTCATTCTCAAAAATAACTACTTGATCTACACCTCACTTTAAACTAAGAGTACAAAGAAATTTAAATACGAACCTAAAGTGCTTTTAAGTAGTGTAACTTAAAACAAAAAACCTAGAATCAATATATATCCTTAGTCTCCCTTTTCTTTTACAAACTTAGGCAACGTAAGACTTATTTCAAAATATTTTATTTCAAGTTCAACTAACTCTAATAATATTTTTTTTTGTTTTCATTGTCTACACCGATATTCCACCACCATAAAAAGTATTGTACATCAATGCTAGTTAATGTTGGCTTGTTATCAACACACACCTTGCATCTAAGTCAACCAATGCTCACATGCTATCATTGTACACCTTACATCAAGGTCAATCAGTGCTCATGTACTACATATGCATTATACATCAATATTAATCAATGCTCGTGTGCGATCATGGATCCACTAGCAATACCTTGTCATTTTCCATGGATGCGCAATAATACGCCTATTTGAATTTTTACTAATTGATAATTGATCTTAATGAGAAAGTAGAGCATAAATTCATATTTTGCGTGTTCACTATATAATTATAAGAAATCTAATTTTCCAAAATAACATAACTACAAAAATTGAAATTTTTGGAGATGTTACACATTTTGCAGCATTGAAGTACAAGAATGTAAAACTTATCATTTCCTTGTTTTCTATCAGTTTTGATGTCTCTATAGCAAAACTGATCAATGTAGCACAGAACACCAGTGTTTCATCAAGAGAGATTAGGGAGGAAAGTGCTCAACATCCATGGGAGGGAAACTAGATTGTGTTGATCGCATTCCTCTAAGTAAACTTTTTGCTGTTTCTCTTTCCTGTAAGAATGATTTTAAATCATTAAATGATTTGGTAAGACTAAGTTGGTTCAAATTGAAATTTTAGTTGAATATTTAGACTCACCGGGCCAGTATAATCTAGAAGACGTGTGCAGTAAACCTCTGCTTCTTCAAATCTTTTCTGTTCTTTGTAATATTTTGCAAGAAAGAGCAAAGCCTCAACCATGCTAGGTCCTTCCCTCTCTTCACATTCCATCCTCTCTAAATCCTTTTTGTAGTAAAATGCAGCTTCTTCAGGGCGCCCCAGCTCTGAGTGCAGCTTTGCTAGCTGGTGAAGTGCAATTGCTTCCCTGTCATTACAATTTGCTGCCCTTCTGTAACACTTTATTGCTTCATCAAGCATGCGAAGTTGATCAGTTTCATAACACTGACCCATCGCAATCCACAACCGCGAGTCATTTGGCTGCAGGAAAACGGATTTTTTGAAGTAATGAAGCGCATAGAAAGGCATACCCATCATCTCATAAGCCTGTCCTAGTCCATACCAAGCACGATAATCACATGGGTCTATATCTACAGCCCGACGATAGGCATCCACAGCAGCAGGAGTGTTTTTCATCTCAACAAACTCATGACCCATAAGTGTCCAAGCAGATAAATAATTTTTGTTCAATTTAAGGGCTCTCCTAAAGTACACAACTGACTTTTCATGCTGCCCCTTTAAACTGTAATAATTCCCAATGATACAACAAGATTCAGGTCTGTATTTATCAGTCATGAATACTCTATGGGCAAGATAACTCAAAGCAGAAAAGCACTCCTTAGCATAAAGCACATTGGAGTACATATCCATGTCTTCAACTCTGTAAGGATCATTTCTCAGCAGTTCTTCAAATATTGCTTCAACTTGGTCAAATTCCCTCAAACTGTACTGGGCTTTTGCAATTTGTGCCTGTATGTAATTACTATAACCAAAGGTTCCTAGTAGATACTCATATTTTGACAGAGACTCATTATGCATCCTTAGTTCTTGGTAAGCTCTGGCAAGGAAAAAGTCCTTCATCCAATGACTATTGAGATTAAGACTACTCAGGATATCAACTGTAGTGCACAAGGATTGCAGTTCAGTCCAGGCATTCCAGTTCCAAGGGTAACTATTCACAGATTCTACAAGAACTGTACGTGCAAGATTCTCACTGCCTTTCTGTTTGAGCACAAGACCAAATAGGTACAAACCAAAAGGATCAATTGTGCCATTCTTGCGAAGTGTTGACAATTCCCTCTCCAAAGAAACTAATTCATGATTGACAGCATCACTCTTACCTAGAGGCCCCTCAAGTTCTATTATCTCTTCCTCTTTTCGCTTTTCTCCAGCCTGTAGAAAGAATGAGAAAAAAAATCAGTTACAGAGATAATGTCAAATTAAAAAATAAGTAAAAGTATATATATATATCACCCTTTTGAAATTGATATTACTACAACTCTACAAGAATATAAATGCACTGCATTAGATAATCAGTTGCTTGTGCTAGTAACATGTAACAATGTGCAATGTATTATTATTATTTTGGTTTCACTAAAGGGAAAAGTAACAGGTGATCCAGCAGCATATAATACGATCAAATACACACACTGTGTGTGTGCGAATTGACTAAAGTAGTAGCAATTGGCAAGAAAAGTTCTCTTAGAAAAATGTATTAGGTAACATTGCTAAAAGATAGGCATGACATTTCGGAAAACAGAAAGCACATTACGGAAACAACAGATAAGTAACAATTAGAAGTCACTGATTTTAGCATCTAGATTCATATATCAGGAAATAACATTACAATTTTTCTATTCCAAAGTCCAAACAACAAGGGTTCAAATTTAATAGGCGCTTCATGCTTTAATTTGCAGCATTATTTTTAAGGTCTCTACTCTCTATCAATTTCAGTTTTTTCTTTTACTTTTTGATGTTTGCTTTTCACATAAATCTGTTGATCTTTAACAAGAGTAATTTTTAAATGCACATTTTATTTACCCCAACGTTCAGAGTTTTATTCATGAAAGACACCGTTTGGTGGAAGAATATTCATTCTTCTACATGAATAACACATGCAATTTAATTTACTCTCCTACTCAAATTATCAAATTTAAAAGGTCATCAACCAAAGATGATTAATTAGTTACAATTAGAATTTTGACTTCAGGCATGTCCTTCCCTAAAATTTAAGGCACCAAAGCTAATTGCACCAAATATTCAAATGTGTTATACACAGATGTTGCTGAGAGAGACATCATAAACTCAAAGGGGGTAAACAATGAAGAGACAATTACTCAGTCAACTGATGATCTTGATTAAACTTCATTGTGCCCATGTCAAAAAATAGAAAAGACAACATAAACTGCCCTCTATGTTATGGTCTGCGTTGCTATATGTTCAGATATCTTTGCAACACCCCAACCTCAACAAAAGAATCAATTGCTGGAGTTTTGCTTCAACTACAAGTGTATATACCCCCCAGCCACTCCATAGAGAATCTAACAAAATTATCATAATAAATATACCAGACCAATCTCAGGTTCAAAGTAACCCGTGCCACCTATTAATAGCAATCTATTTAGAAGATAACACAAATTCTCCAATCGAAATAGACTTGGCAATGAAATTGAACTGAAAAACATGTACAATGTCATGTGTTTATCCTTCCACTAACTTCACATAAACCATTTGTCTCCATTAATGTGCAGTAATCGAATTACAACCATCAACAATGACCCATTAGCAACAGACACACCCCCAAATGGATAAAGAATCAAATTCTCTATATTTCTACGTAATACTACACACCAATGATGGGGAAACGAACATTCAACTCCTGAATGCATCAAACTCAAAAGCCCAAGTTGAACTACCAGAGTAACACATAAAATCCCACTAATCAAAATGCACATTCAATCCAAATCTGGGAGCATAAAACTGACCAGATATAAAGCATAACAGCGCAAAAACACCGATTTTCTTCCAGTTTGATCGCGAAGAACATGGGCAGCTCTCTTATACTCACGGCAATCAAAGTAGGACTTAGCCAGAAGGTAAAAATCACCATCTACAAGTTCATCCTCCTCCATCATAGGAGTGGCAACATAAGAAACACCAGCAATTGGCGTCGCCGTAATCTCATGAGTTCCGTACTTGCGGCGAATGCTTGAACTCCCACGCTGGAATCTGGTGTTCGAAGGAGTGAACTTTGCAGGGTCCTGCTCAATACCCACCAACTGTTCTGCTGCCCTGAAACCATATTTTCGTAAGAATCGAACGACCCATTTGCGGAAATGGCATAGAAAAGCAAAAGGAAACTTCAAAATTCAAACTTTGAGTTCAGATGGAAAAGCCCCGATTTTTTGAATTAGGGTTTATGTATGTGATACCATTTAGAAGCAGTGTAGAGGCATCGATCGCTGAGTTGGCGAATCGCAATGCGAAGTTCGCTTCTGCAACTCTCTTTTGAACTCATCGGCTTCGCCTACACTGCATGCAATGCCTTTTTTTTCAAATTGCTTTCCCCCTCTCCTATGTCACTCAGGAGCCAGTTCCACTGCTGTCCTTATTTGAATCCTGCCATTCTTTCTTTTGTTTTCTTTTTTTGTAAATTAATATTTTATAGTACTCTAAATTTCATTTAATTTTTAATTTACTCCTTTAAATTTTTACTTACTTCAACTTTTTCAGTTTACTTTTAGTTTTAACTAAGTTTCTTCAATTTTGTTTTAATTTAAAAACTGACGAATTTCTGTTTAGTATTATTAAATTAAAATAATAAATTTAAATAAATATAAATTTTTAAAATTAAAAAAGAAAATTTTAAATTTTAAATTAATATTAACTTAAAAAATAAATATTTAATGTTAAGAAAAAGGGATAAATGATCTTTAATCTCTATACAGTACTTTATATAAAAAAAATTATTTTCATTTTTATCATTTATTATATAACAACAATAATTATCTTTCTTAAGTGACAAATAACTAGAGTTGTTAAAAAGAGTTAAAACTCTATTAAAGTCAGTCTTATTTAACCTTAAAATTATCTATTAAGTCTTATTTTAAGATTAATTAAAAAATAAATTTAATTTTAAATTATTTAATCTATAATATATGAATAAAGGTAGAGATATGAAATTGTGTTCCCAATGTTTAGTTGGAACTAGTGTCAAACTATCAGCACTTTCAAATACTTTGAGCAAACCCATATGCATTTTTCTTATACTCATGCTGATCATCCTTCCTAAATTATAATAAAGAGGACCATAGGTGGGATTGATATCTTCATTGAGCTTGAAAGGGAGTTTTATAAAAAACTCTGGATTGTTCCATATTGGTCTGGTATGAGAGAACTTTTCAGCAATTGGGAAACAACAAGTCATGTAATAATCAAAGATGAAGGGTCTTCACATAATGATACATTCATAGATTCACAAGATCCGGATGATTCTCTTAGCTACAGCTCAAGTACTGATCCCAATCTGTCACCAAGTTATGAGCCTTTTAAGTACACTTTAAAAATTTATTTATATTTTTATTGAACAAGTATTTAACAAAATTTAAGAAATTTGATTTTTTTTTCTTCTTGCAAAGACTGCCTATTTAAAAAATTAGTCCTTAACCATGCTTTGGACAAGTTATTTTAAAAAATAAACATTAAAAATTTTGATTTTTTTTACATCAATTATAATATAAATTAGAATTTTTTATCAATATAATAATTGAAAATTGAATGAAAAGTATAAAATAATTTAAATTAAATTTATATTAAATTTTGATAATATTATCTAATTATAAATTCTTCTAAATAATATATACAAAATTATAATGAACTTTTAAGTTAAATGTCTGCTCTCGTATTCCATACTTAAAAAACATGAGATATTTTTTATTGTTAATTTAATTATTTTATAATTTATTTTTATTATAATATATTTTTTTATTATAAAAATGTCTTTTATTATAATTTAGGGAGATCTCATTGTATCATAAATGTTACTTTTAAGTTATTCTAATATTTTTATTAAATTTGTATTAATGCATAAATTATATATATATATATATATATTATTTTCTTAAAAAAATTGTTTAAAGTTGTTATATTGTAGTTGGCATTTTATCAAATTAATGGTTGACAATAGAAAAATGATCCCCCAGAATAAATTAATGGTATGCCGTAAAGAAAGAAATGATACAGTTGATGAAATTTGAGTTGAAAACTTGTAATTGCTATAATTTTTTTAGCCCTTGGGGCTAGATTCTAACCCTAATTCTGTGATTTTTTAATTCACAAGACTTTTGATTTATTGAGCATTTTGTCCCTAACACACATGGACTAGGGTTAAGGTTGGGCTAATTAAACATTTTGACAACTCTACAAATAATTATTTAATGTGACTGATTTTATTTATATTTTTTTAATCTTTATACAATACTTCTTTATAATTTAATTTTTATAGATAAAACAATTTGTATATCAATTCTTGTACAAAAATTTATCTTTAATTTCGTCATTATTATTATGGTGACAAATTCATATAAGCTTCAAGTGAAATTTTCTCATTGTTCTTAAAAGAGTATTTTAAATTCTTCAAATAAGCCTCGTATTTTTTCATGTCTAACTTTATGTTTTAATTCGTGTTTACATGAGCATTTTTCTAACATTTTCATTTCTAATATCATTACTTATGTTTTTAATTATATCACATCATAATCATCATTCTTTCTCTTATCATTTTTATATCAACATCTCAAATTTCAGACAAGTCTTCCTAAGTTATGTTCAAAGTAATAAATAAATAAATTCCTTTGTATTCTTGAAACATTTGTAAAAAAATCATAATGACTCTTTAACCTACATTGTTTTCATTTATTTTTATAACCATATATTAACTATTTTAAAAAAATAGTATTAAATAAAAATGACAAGAGAAAGGATAATATTACTGTAATAATATGATAGAGCAAACAAATGGCGATATTTAAAATAAACTATTAAAAGTGATATTTATGTAAAAATGAATCAAAACACAAAATTTTATAGAAACAGTTTTTACACGAGTTTAAAGTAAAGAGACGTTAGTTTGTAAATAAATCTAAATGTCATTAATTGTAAATGTATGAAGTAAAATATAAAGTTTCTTTGAAGATGATAAGTGTCACTTAACATTGATAAGAAATGTCATGTAATGACTAAGACAAAATTAGAAGTAAACTTTTGTACAAAGAATGAGATTGATATATAATTTTGATATATAAATTTATTTATTTATAAAAACTAAATTATAAAAAAAATATTATATATAAATTAAAAGATAATTTTAAAAATTACCTTTTATGAGGTAAGTGTATAAGATATCAAAATTTACAAATTGATATCTTATAAAATTACTTTTTATATATTAAGTACCATACTGTTAAAGACAGAATTAAAAATAGATTTTTATATAGGAACCTATATATAATTATTTTTATTTATAAGAACTAATTAAAAAAATTTATATAGAAACTAAAATATCATTTATAAAAATAAAATTAAAATATGAATAAGAAAATTAACTCCTAAAACATTATTATTTAAGAAATAAACTCATTTAAAATTCAACACTCTGAAATTATATTTATATATATATATATATATATATAATTTATGAACATTAGTAGTTAAAAAATTAATGGCAATAATTATTTAACTTTATTATATTAATTATAATAATTACTAACAATTTTTATAAATTTTATCAATTAATTTTGATTAATTATCATTATTTTATAAATTATATCTAATGACATTTCATTATTTTTAAATTATTTTTAGAAAACATAATAAATATAGTCAACTCTACTTCTTTATTTTCGTATTATTTTTTTTATGAATTTTAGTAATAATAACTTTCATTGTAAATACAGAACATATAAAATGGATACAATCAATTTTACATTCACACATACATTTAAAAAATTAGAAAAGTATATATATTTAAAATGACAACAACTAACATAAAATACACAAATTAATAATTAAAAATAAAATATTATTTTATTTATAAAATTATATATAATATATAACTAAGCACATGAGTTTACAGTGTAGGTAATACATTATTCAATGTTATGTTAAGGTTATAATGTAATTAATTTTTTAATATTTAATTTTTCATATAATTTAAAGTTAAAATTTAAATTTTGTTTAGAAATTAAAATATGAAATTCAAATTAATTTTGATAAAAAAGATAAATTTAAAATAAATTTGAAAGTTAAAATCTGGATTTAAAATTGATTATGAGCCAAATATAATTTTAAATTTGATTTAAAATAAAATTCAAATTATTGAAAATCAAAATAAGATTTAAATGTAATTTAAAAATTAGATATTTAAAAGAAGAATAGATTGGATTTTGTCCCATCATAAGGTGATTTTATAAATAGATTTTGAGAGGTTTTAAAACCTATCCACGCTCACCCGAAATGTCCGAATCGGAAGAACTACTCTGCTTTCACAATAAGAAGCGCCACTTCATTCCTTCAATTTATGGTTTTGGCGCCAAACATCTCCCATTAATCCATCTTCCAAATTCATCATTTCAATCTCATTCCACCCAAAGCCATAACCCTAACAAACCATCCAAACACAACACAACCCAACCCAACCCGAACCTTCTTTTTCTCGATTCCTAGTCTCATCAAACAACAACAACAAAGAAGAAGATAATGTTTTATTCTCAAACATTTTTGGCGCGAAAAGGACCGCTCTCCACAGTGTGGATCGCCGCTCACCTCCAAAACAGGCTCAAGAAATCCCACTGCACCGCCACCCACATCCCCTCCACCGTTCGTGAGTAAAAGTTGTCGTTTTTCTCAAACTTCTTGAAAACCCACCCTTTATCATACTAATTATTTTTCTTTGTTCTCTGCTGAACTTGTCGTTTAGAACACATCATGGATCCTGGGGTTCCCATTGCGCTGCGTATGTCTGGGCACCTTCTGCTTGGTGTCGTTCGCATATACAAGATGAAAGTTGATTACCTTTTGGACGACAGCAATGCCGTTGTGATGGCTCTAATTAAAGCGTTAGATTCAATTAAATTTGCTGCACCAGAGGATGCGAGGCAAGCGTCGTTTCAAGCTATCACTCTGCCAGAAACGTTCAACCTTGACGCCGTTAACCTGGGCGAAGAAATAGATAAAGACAGGTAACCTTATCATTAACAGTTTTTTTTTTTATGTTGTATTCTTGTATTTTAATTTGTACTAAACGCGGCAACAATTGGGTATGTGTCTCAGATTTGAGGACGTTCACATGAGGAGTTTCGAAGATATCACTCTTACAGGTTAATATGAGTAGATGAGTTGTGTTAGTTGTAATCAATAATTAGATTAGTTCATGAAAGATACAGTATTGGTCAAATTAGTTTAAAGTGAAACACTAGTTTGGTCTCTCGGAAGAGGAGCTTTGGAGGGGAGGGCAAATTTTGTATTTTAAATAAATATATTTAAAATTAATACTTTTTTTAACATAAAATATATAAATTGATGTATTACTATAAATTTAATGTATTAATCATGCATTTATCATCCCTTCCCTCTAAAAACTCCCTCCCAAACATAAAAGATTCTGGTCAAATTTATTGTTGGTCACATTAGTTCTTAAAAGATAAAATCACTTTATAAGCAAAAATTATTATTTCGAGTCATGAAAGTTAGTGATATTAGGACTACTTTGACCAGAGAAATGCTCATTCAGGGACTTGAAGCCCACTTTCCGTTGTTTGCTAAGATCAATACTATATCTTTTAGGGACTAAATTATTTATTTACTCATTACTTGACTTTTGAAAGTTTTGTGAGCACATGGAAATCAAGGATCTTTTAACACTTCTCAATGTGCAGATCAACCTGTTATAATGGATCAATATTTGGCTATATCTCTTGATGAGGTGCAGTCATACTACCTTAATGTTGCCTGCCTCTAATTCCCCTTCTTCTTTGGAATGATGCGGTTTTGGAGGTGCAAATTTGTTTGTTTAACTTTCTTTTATGTACTTAGGATATAATGATGGATTCCTCACACACAGAAGTATTGCCAGATTCTGGGGCTGGACCAATGGAGGAGGAGTAAGTTTGTGATGCATTTTGGTATTTTTTTAAGGTTTTTTTGTTTTGTTTTGGCCTATTTTCCAATGGAATAATATGATGTTTTGTACCCTCAGCACTATCCCCCAATCTGCATCGATGAATTTTGTTGTTGGTGTTGAAGATCATGTTCCAAGTACCCAGAGAGAATCGCCCACCATCCAGCATACTGCTGGTGACATAAGTGGCTTGGGTCCTGGCGACAACAGTCCTGCACAAGTTACCCAAGCCAACCCAATTGAATTTCTTCGTGATCCCAACAATGATCATATTCCAGAAACCCCCCCAGTATTTCCTAATCTTGAGGATAATGATGTTATCCCAAATAGAAATCACGAACAAACTACGACCGGAAAGGATCCTGTTCCTGAAATGATTGGTGATTTGGATCCTCAAGTGGTGTCTGCACCATCTCAGCAACATTTTGGACCACCAACTCCAGTTACTTCTCAAGGTGGCATCTCAGGTGCACAAGTTGGTGGAGGTCAGTTCATACCTGTTTGTGTCTCTTGTGTTACATTTAGAGTGTAGAAATACAAACTTTACTTTTGTCTTCTTTGCACTGTGTCAGAGAATATTTCTCCCAATTTTATGCTTCGTGAAAGTCCACCAGTACAGCAACCACAACGGAGGGGAAGGAAGAGAAAACAATTCTTCGATGAACCAATAGTGTTATCAAATAGGTATTTCTTTAAGATTTGTTTTTATTGAATTACTTCCCTCCCCATGCAACTTATAGTTTATACCTGTATAGTTATAAGTTCCTGTTGTTCTTTCTATGCTTGTTACTCATATGTAGATGTGTTTTTGTAGAGTCATGAGGGGAGCACTTAATAATCCTCGTGATATACTGCGGAAAAGAAGGGAAGTTCCTTCCTCTAATTTGGGTACTTGGAAATTGAACAACAGTCGAAGGAAGGAACACATTTTTGATCAGCCCTTGTTAACTGGTAGGCTGGTCTTTATCTTTTATTTTGCAGAATGTGGTACTTCATAATTTTTATCAACTTGTCATCTTAAAACTTATGGCTGTCTTCAGGTCTTTGTAAGGATCTTTTAGACATATCCAATAGTGAATATGTACATTCAAGACCAAATTTGGCCATCTCCGAGGAAGATCATGTGGATGCTAGGATTACTAAACCTCTTTCTCCAACTAACCAATCCCCCGAAGAGCCAATAGTTGCTACACCTCCTGTTACTACCTCTGATATGGAAATTGAACGCCTTCGTAATGTTGCTGTCTCTTCCCCTCCTGCTGTCCCAGTACCTGATGTGGTTGAAGGTGATTATAGGAGCCCTGATAGAAGAAATGACTTTACTATGGCTTCACCTCATAAATTAGGGTCCATATCAGTTGCTTCTTTGAGAACAAATATTGAAGCTGAGACAATGCAGACGCCAGATTTAGCAGCATCACCTGATGCTCATGAATTGGAGACAATGCACACTCTCGATTCAGATAGCCATCTTGTAATCAATTCTCCTGAAACAAATGTAAGATTAGGTTTCATTATGAATGCTTTAATATTGTCTCTCTTGATCATCATATCCCATTTCCTTTTAGTGCAACACATTAATTCTGATTATTTTCTTAATCGGAGGAATATGCGAGGACGATACATTTAAATTTGCAACTTTGAACTCCCTTCAGATAGATATTGATGTATGTTTGACATGATGTTGAGTCTTTCTGATAGTAAAGTGCTACATTCATCAATTTTTTAGGACCTAATGCACATTTTAATTAAAATGCTTGCAGGACAAGTTCTCTACTGATCATATTTTTCAAACTAGTAGCATGCAACCCTGTAGATTTTGCTTTGTACCCATGCACTTAAGATGGTTCAATTGAAGCATTGCATCTAATAGCTTGTGAAACTTGTTTTTGTAGGAGCTTTGGTTTCTGGAAGTGGACAGCACAACGCCAGCCAGTAGGTTCTATTTACTTGTTATCTTCAATTTGATTTTTCTGTGAAATCCTTATTTTAAGTATTTATTGTTGCATTGTTTATATTGTATGATGATAATATTATATTTGATGGCCATCTCTATTATTGACATCAGATTTATAGTTGGTAACGTGAGTATTTTGTATAGGTTCACCATGTGGTACAAGTGGAAGTATTGACATATTGTCTGGAAGGACTGGGTACATATTCATTTCTCTTTGCTATTATAGAACATGCATGTTTTATTCAATTTGTTCATATTATGTAAACTAAATTATGCTGAAGCAGTTGGGATTGCTAAATAGAATGCTATAAACACACTGCAGTTATCCATTCATCTTTTGATGTCAATAAGAACTATAATGGGTCTTAATTGTTTCCGACCAACAATTGAAGTTAATAGAATCAGACTTATCTGTAAATATCATTATTGTGAATTGTTTTTCTGAAGTATGCCATTATGGAAGGTTTATATTGTATTTTAAATTACAAATTTACTGCCATCATGCAGTTTTTTTTTCCTAACAACATATTTCTGGGTGTTTTTAATAGTTTATTTTACACATACCTAGGGACTTGCCCATTGCCGATATTTCAGGTACTCTACACCATAGGAATAGGATTAGGAACTGTGTGACCTGACTTTCTTCCCTCTTCCTTGACGCTGCAAGACTATTCATCTGATCTGATACATCATAAGACGTGCATTAGAGTGAAAAAAATTAAATGATATATAATAAACAAGGCCAAGTATGAAAATCATCTGATCTAATACATCATAAGACATGTGCATCATAGGGAAAAATTAAACATTGTATAATGAACAAGATCAAATATAAAAATATTGTCTGCTAATTATTTTCTGGAAAATGTATATAATAACTAGAGGAATGATACGGTGAGGAAATTCTTAAAGAAATCCTAGCAACCAAAATAATTTTCTTGACGTGGTATTTTTTCCCAAAAGTTAAAATGTGCTAACTGATAAAATGTGTAAGTTATTTATGTTCATTTGCTTCTTCATATTGGACTAGTAGTTCTCTAGCATCTGAACGTGCCAATATTCTTCACCTATTTAATTCCAGGCAAGTAGCTCAATGTTTGAAAAGGCTTTCTCCAATCACCCCAATTTTGGAAGACCCTGTTGGAGATCTCAGCTTGAACAAGATCTTGGAAGGGAAAACTAGAAAGGTCTCTGCTCGAATGTTCTTTGAAATATTGGTGGGTTCTGACTTCTGAAACACTTCCATCCATTGGAAATGAACCTCCATTATGTCCAAATAATCAGAATATGTATTTTTTGTGGATGCATGCTTTTAATATGATTGGAAAAAATGTGTGGTCAATTCGATCATAATTAAGAGAGATTTATTTCTATATCATACTTGGATTCATGTCCTACGAATAATGCTTTCTTCAAAAGCAAGCATCCTTTTGAACACTTATGGCCACCCCCACCCCTTCCCAACTTTTTGTGTCATGTAATTTTTTCCCCTTTTGTGACTGATTTGGAAGTTTGATGTTGAATTACAGGTTTTAAAGACTCATGGACTTGTTGATGTACAACAAGAAGAACCTTATGGTGATATCAACTTGAAGTTGACTTCTACACTTTTAAATGCTCAAAGTTGATATTTTAAGTTGTTATTAATCTTTTGCGGGCCCTTGTGTATATAGGTAAGAGTTCTCTATTTTAAAACTTCTGTAACTTTTGAGGCTTATAGTAGAAAGTAGTGTTGATACCAGTGTTCGTAAACGTTAGGTACACTTTTGTAACTAGATGAATGGGACTGTAGACTTCTATAGTTGGTATACCAAAATTTTTAAATAAAAAAGTTTAAGAGTAAGGCATAGTTTACTCTTTAATTTTAATACAAGTTAGTATTGTATTTTATTATTTTTAATTTTAAAATTGCAAGAAAATGTTTTTTATAAACCTGCTCTTCCTGTACTCAATCAAACCCATTCCTTCAACTTGTCTGATGAGATGTAAGTTTGCTAGTTTCTTTTATGGTAAATGTTTTTACAACAATGTAGACATATTTTATTCTATTTAGTATTTACTCTCTTATGAAATTTGTTTCCATCATTCATAAAATAAACTTTTATTTTATATGTATGTATTTTAGTTGTTTGTTCAAATCTTCGCTGAAGTTTAAAGTCACTTTGTTCAATATTCCTGACATTTTTGTACCATATATGCTGATGCCTAAATCATGCTTTCGCTTTTCAATTTTGATACTCCATTATTATACTCGTTCTCTGGATAAATCCGGGCATAGAAGGAAAATGAAAGGAAATAAAGAAAAGTTCTCTGTGGAGAATGCTTTTTAACCTTAAAGTTACTTTGCTAAAGGATACCCTTAGTAACCCAAAAATATGCTTCAATCATCCATTTCTAATGTCTGTTTTACTGATTCACATGTTACAAACTAGTTCTCATTAAAAAATCTTACTTATTGCAGTTGGATTCTTGCTAAGAACGGAAATGCAATTGGGTGGGTAGAGACGGGCACATTACGACCAGCTTGAAGAGATGATTTTTGTCACTCTTATTTTGCACATATCTGCATCCTGTTTAATTTATATTTAACTATAATGATTGACTTCATTTTTTTTATTCAATCTATTTATAGTTGGCTAAAAAGGAACATGATTTAGGATTAAATTTATTTTTCCAGCTTGTAGTTTGGTCTAACTTTTTTGTCAACTGATTAGCAAATGCAGCATAAAAAAATTATGCGTTCAGGCGTTTTCCAAAAATGAGGATTTATTTGACATGTAAAAGGCGATCTCTCAGCCCATTCATCAAAAGAAAGTGTTCTAATTTAGGATTTGGGAAACGTTTTTTTTTAACAAATAGATGTCAAATCATTATCCCTTTAATATTTAGTTGTATTTTTGAGATTTATGCATACACAAGATATAAGATAAGATCAGGATAATGAATATAGGCACATCATATCAATTTTTACTGTTCAATTAACAAAATTACAATTAACATTAGTAAGACAACCATCGACCCAACTTCCTATATGTTCAACAATATTCAAGGATTGCTAATGTCATAATTCAACCCGACAAAGGAGAGAATTCCCTATTCCAACGAAAATGTCTTGCAGATGGACAAGCTAACAAGCACGACCAAGAGTCAAAATATAAAAGCACGTTTATAATGGTAGATTTATTTATTTTTTCATTTTGCCCAAAATCAATACCAAAATCAAGGGCTCAGGATATTGCACACCTAATTGTATCTAAATATAACGATGCCCTCACCTCACCATAATGGTGAAGCCAGCCACTGCTTAAGAGAAGTCACAATTCTATCATGGTGAGAGGAGTGACTGGTTAAATGCAGCAACTTGCTTGATTTTAAAAGCCTTCTGTAAATATGGCTCTGGCTCACTACTAGGCAGTATGAAGGTATAAATTCCCACTCAAAATTCAGTTAGGAAATTTATTTTGGTCTGCAAAAACACCACATGCCACAAGGTGTAGTTTTAATTGATGACTATATAGTATTTTCCAAACCAATAAAAAACAAATTCCAAGTAGAAATATAGAACGTGTAGGAATTATTTTACACACCAAGCCGATCGTTATCTAGGATTAGCCAAGAAATTCATGATGCCCAAAAACCATAAAAAAGAAAACCATAAAACACAATGTAGAAACCAACCATTTCTGTTGTAACAATTGGTACTCAATATTTATTACATGCTTTACCAGAAAAGCTATAACTCCACTATGAGGGGGATCCATTGCTGCTAGCAAGAGTACACCATACACTGTTTATACTATATGTGATCCCAGCTATCCAAGAAACAGTGCACTGGCAATCACTTGTCAGCAACAAGAGCTTCAATTTTGTTTTCAAGGTGAGCTTCATGATCCTCCAGACGACCTAAGATTGTCTCATTCTCCAATCGGATCAATGTCGGCACCCCAGTGAGCTTGAACTTAGGTTCCACCCTCCATGGATGCTGAGGGTTCCTCCATGTTGCTCTATCACCAACATAAGCTCTCAAAAGTGCAATGTCATCAGGTGAAGCCTCCAACTTCTTGTAGATCACTGGTTCAGCTCTCACACAATCTAAGAAGTAAAAGCAAAATATTTAAAACACAGGGGACAACCATCAGAAATGTTTCGTTTATCAAAATCATGCTTCTCTTAACTTTCACTAAATTCTAACTATATGACGCAAAAAATGTAATCAATATCATTCTCACTTTTTCTTTTGTTTAATATATAATATTTTCATTGGTTATTTATATTGACAACCATAGCATCCAAAACCAAAAGCAGAAACATAGAATACCAATCTGGGAGAATCTCTTCTTCCCCACAAGGTAAAAGAAACATTTTTTTTTTCTGATTTACATTGTCATTTTGGTGCTGTCATCATAAAACTTTCACTGATATTGCCAAATGCTAAATAAAATTTTCTGCTAAATGCATTACGAATAATATCCTTTTTCCCAATTATGTTTTCCAAAAAAAAAAAAAAAACTGAGAATTCCTTGAAAGATTCCATCTGGGTAAGACCAAAAACAGGAAACAGAACAAGATCATAGAAAAAGAGAAGGAGAAATAATACCAGGGCACCAGCTGAGAGAGGTGGCAGGGTCTTTGTCAGCCAAGAAGAGAATGAGATTGGCTTTGTTCTGTGAAACCTCTGAACGGAACTTCTCAAATACGCCATCAAAAGTCGACACTGTGGCGTCTAAAACCTTCAATGGCATTTTTTTTTCACTCTGCAACGAAAATATCACACAACAATAATGGCAGATTCTTTAATAAAAGAAATTCGGATACGTTTTCTGGGGAGGATGTATTACGCTTCACGCACCACACCCCTTACTTTATATTTATAATAAAGTTTTTCATTGTGGGTTTTTAGAAACATTAAAAATTTAAAATTAAATTTTAATATATATTGAAAAATACATAATAAAAATTTATGTATAATAATTGATGATTATTATAAGTTATATGATATTACAAAATTTAACGTATTTATTATATTAAATATTATAATTTAATAAAAAATTATGATTTATTAATTTTGTCTTTAGATACAAATTAACAAAAATAATTCTAACATTCATCATACCTCTCAATTAAGCATAATTAATTGGATTAATGATACATTTTCTCATAATATTTTTTTAATTAATTAATTTTCTTTCATTTAATAAAAAACTAAATAAACAGTACCGTAATATCTTAAAACATGTAAAAAATGTTTATTTAATAAATAGGAAAATTAATAAATAAAGAATATAAAATAATAAAATAATTTTAATCTTAAACGTAATTTTAAAAAGTATCAACAGTTATAAAATAAATATATTTAACTCCCTATTTTTGTGTTGTTACCTTTTATAAATCTTAATTATAACTTACATTTAGTGTATTAAATAGATGTAATTAATTTCTCTCTCACACACACATCAACGGTTATAAAATAAATACATTCAACTCTCATCAATTTTATGTGCTACCTTTTATAAATCTTAATTATGACATAGGTTTAGTATATTAAATAGATGCAATTAATTTCTCTTGCACACACTTAAAAAAGCTTTGACGAATTGAAAATAAAAAATATTATTTTATCTGTCAATTTATGCGTAATATATAATTAAATATATTATAAATTTTATCTTTTCATGTGTATTTATTCATTTTATCATATTAGTTCTCATTATTTTTCAATTTTTAAATAAATTTTGATAATTTTTATAAATTAACTTTAATAAATTATTATTATTTTTTAGATAATTTTTGTGCACATAAATAGTTACAAATTTAATATAAAAAATATTTAATTTATTATATTAATTATAATTTTGTTTATACATTTAATTTTTTTATAAAATACGTTTAATTAATTTTCATTATTTTTTAATTATTCTTTAAAAATGTTAATATTTATGAAATAAATACCAGTAAGCACATAAATCACTTGTTAAAGGGTTGGAGGATATCTGTAGTCTCAAACGAAAAAACAAATTTAGGAAAAATAGATGCAATCAAATTTACATAAATATATATATAAATAGATTCTAATTTTTTTTTTATAAATTTTAAAATTTGTATGTCATTGTTTCTTAAATATATCAATAGTCATGAAATAAATATATTTAACTAGTATTGTTATTTATCATTATATTTTATAAATCTTATTAATCAAAACTTTCAGTAAATTTATGTGTAAATTTTAATATTTTTAAAAATATTTTTAATCAATTATCCTTATCATTTTTAATTTATTTTTAAATATAAATAATTATGAAATAAATATATTCAGCTCTCTTTGTTTTTGTTATTTTTTATAAATATGACTTTTATTAAAAATTGTACAATCTATTAAATAGATATAGTCACTTTTGCAATATATATAAAATTTTTAGATATAAAATAAAAATTCAACCCATATAATTTTAAAATAATTTTTCCCTTAATTGTTATAGTTAATTCTTAGTTTTGTTTTTGGTCAATCAATTATTAATATATTTGGTCAACTTGACTCACGGGTTATGTGCCCAACTTCCACAGCCACAGCCCACACACTGGGCTCGATGATGACTGGTTTCAACTTACGGATGGGCCCAAGTTAATAGCTTGCACCAATCGAAGGGGCCCTTCACAACTGATAGGTTTGTCTAACCAAAAACCAGGTGCTGATAAAAAAAAATAAAAACCAGGTAACCATTTTTTAAAAGTTACATTTGTTTTTACTTGACTTAAAAAAAAACTGTTATTTATATTCTAATGAAAGGAAATATTTATTGTGGCTCCTAAATGTTTATTATCATATTTTTTAAGTGCTAATATAAATACTATTTTACATACACTTTTTAAATTAGAAAAATAATAAATATATGGATCCGGGAATAAACACTCTCTTTAATGAAAATATAAATGATTATTTATTATTTTTTAAAACGATAATTTATGTAATAAAATTGATTAACATAAATTTAAAACAACTTATAAAATTCATAAACTTTTGTTAAGAAGGTCAAAATCAAGTTGCTAGTATTGTGGTAACATTCAATGCACTGTTAACAGCTTTTATCCTTAGTCCTTACCATGGCTGACTTGGCAAATTGATGTTTATCCCATTCTTTATGTGGACCGGTCAAAGCATGCACGAGACTCATCTCTTAGGAAGTCAAACTCATCAATTGTTTATGAATATATAACATAAGATGGGATGGTTATCCTAAATTCCGAATTGGGACACAATTCCAAGTTGGAACCATGTTTTTGCTCTCAGCTTTTCTCAACTGTTTTGGGCATTTTCCACCTTCGTCTTCGTCTTCATCTTCGTATCGCTTTTCTGATGATACAGAGAATGTTGATTTGGAAGTATCTAGAACCTCAGCAAAATATAGTGGAGCTTCAGGTGCTGTTAACTATTTCCTCGTTACCTCATTCCTTTCCCGCATTTAGTTGAACCACTTCTTATATCCTAGTTATGATGAAACCTTTTCTAGGTAATCATGAAATGTTCTGTTTCTTCAGTGCTCTGCTTTAAGACCAGGGTTTTCAGTCAACGATTATGTGTAATTATATATGTCAATTTTCTTAGGTTGGGTTTGTGGTCCTTGTGGCTCCTGTGATTTTCTTCTCTTTCGTGTAACTCAAAAGTTCTTTTCAGGGGTCGATTTGTAGAGTTATGGCAATTTAATTGGCATTGTTAAATCCTCCTAAACCTTTGTTTTGGAGAGGAAATCAAAGAGTTTGCAGTGGATTTGATTTAGTACGTGTACATTTTAGAAGATATAATTTGAAATAATAATAATTTAATAAAATTATAATAAAATAGTCTAGTATAATTAGTTCCGCAGTTCAGACATATTTTATTATTTTCAGTTATAATCTATTAAATTATACATAGATTAATTTAAATTATTTTTTATTATATTAGAGACAAAAAAAAATGTTAACGTTTAAATAAATACTCATAGTAGTTAACTGTACGAACTAACGTGAATAATATTTGTGAAAGTTAAAGACAACGTCGATGATGGAATTTGATGTTCGTACAACGTTGATGTTGAAGGCAAAACCAAGAACCTCTGCGTAAGTCTTAACATATACGAAAGCACAACGTGAATGGTGTGTAGGTAAAAAGACAGAAGAAGATGCAGGCACAATAGTGTGGGTGGAATTGAAGCAGCCTTCACGGGAAAGGAAACTACGCTCCTTTTCAATAAGAATACTTTTTTCTTTTCTTCTTCTTAGGGTTAACATATGGTTGCTTATTACTCCCTTTGATCAATTTTATAAGACATTTAATTAAATCATATAAAATGATAAAAGTAATTAATTTAATTATTTTGTTAATCTTTAAAAGATATTATAACATGATAATTTTACACTCATTAAATATTATTGAATTTAACTTTATTATTGATATTTATCCTTGTTGGTTTTAATTTTAAGTTTCTATCAATTTTATTTATCAACGGCAATTTAAGAACTATCTTTAGTTTAAGAGTATTAAGTCTTACATTAAGTTCTAAGTTTTCAAAATAACAAGATTATTATTTGAGGATATTTTCTTTTTGCAACTTCAAGGTTTTAATATTAAAATTTTAAAAATAAAGAGAACAGAACGATGATACAAAGACATTTAGAAAGAGAATAATGATACAGAAAGAGAAGAAGAAGAAAATAAAGTAAATAAAAAGAATAGAAAGTAGAGAGTTTGTGAGACATTAAAAAAAAAATAATGGACATTAAAAAAATATACTATGTAGCTCATATTTAAAATAAAAAATAAAAATCCTTCATATTCTAATTATAAAACATGATAAATAGAATAATTTAACTAAATTTAAATTCAACTAAAGAAAAGAGTAAATAATTAAAGACTAAAGTAAATAGTCTTTATAAATATACTGTTTTTTTAATCATTCTATATAATTTTTTTTTGTTAGATTTAGTCCTATAATTTTTTTAAAATAGTCTTTTCTGTTAACGAAGAGTTATATCAAGACTCAGTAAATGGGATTTTATGTTATATATGCTATTGTAACTGGATAATCACAAGGGTATGACAAAAAAGTATTTTAAAAAATATTTTTTATGAATACAAATATTTTTTAAAAAAAATTAAAGAAGTCACCACCAAAATTTTAAAAAATATCTTTAAAATAAAAAATGAATTTGAAAGTTGATGAAATGTATTAACACTTTACAACGTTAGTTTAAATAAAAATTACCTTAAATTAATTATACAAATTTATTTTAATTTTAAAATATAGTTATTTAATTCCTAAACAAAAGTGTTGTTATTTTTATTTTTAAAGAAAAAATTATTTATTAAAATAGTAATTAGTATATTTAGGAAAGGAAAATTATTTTGAAAATAGTTTTGACTATACGAGTTGAGTTCTTGTCCCTACGTATTCCTATGCAATGAAAACTCAGTCACGTAATTTTACTTTAAAAATTTTTAAGTTGATTGATTAAAATTAAATTAAGTAAAAAAAAGTTTATTTTGAGATTAAAATTATTTTTATAAGATTATAATGTTTAGAATACAAGATAACGCCCTATACATGTATCTTACGAGAAACAATACGTTCACGCTACTTTAAAAAAATCAACGTTTGAATCATCACTACTTCCTCAATGACATTCGATTGCATTTTCTAAAAAGATAAATAACGTAGTAGAAAGCTATTTAGAACAACATTAAGTAGCGTTACTTTACGCCATAAATTTTGTTCGGTAGCTTCGCCTATAATCAAAATATCATTAGCAAATTGTAACAACAAAATTTTAGGTCCATTACTAACTTTGACTCCCAAAAAAAAGGTCCCTTT